TAAGCAAACGATGCATTATGCATTGCATTTAGACTAAAGCCCCCTGGGCTCCATATGGGGCAGCCCCCTAGCCGCCAGAAGGGCAAGCCGGCAATTGAATTTGGGGTGCCGCAGGGGGATCAAGGAAGCGGTGAGAGGGGCTCCTCTCTGGGCCTGAAGCCCCCCTCCCACAAGATACCTGCAAGACCCAGGCGAAGCCAAAACTGGGGGGCATCAGCTCCACGATCCACAGCAGGAGTTCCAGGGTGCGGATGTCCCCGTCAAAGCGGTCTCTCAGGTCGATGTACTGCACCTGCACAGGTGAGCAGGAGAGGGTGATCCCTGGGGATCTGGGCGGCCCCAGAGGAGACTCGTAGGCTCGGAATACCGGCACTGCCTCCCACACCCCCGAGGGAGGGAGGCCGGAGCCCCTACAAGTCCGAAAAGAGGAGGGCAACCTTCGGCCCTCCAGCTCCCATCATTGCCAGCAGCAAGGCATGCTGGGAAGTGTAGTTCAGCCATTCCCATGCCCCTCGGCCTTCCAAAAAGCCACTAAAACCTGGCTATTCCGGCAGGCCTGGGGGCTGTTGACTCCCGGAATGAGGTCCAGCCCCACTTAAGACGGAATGTATGGTGTGTTGTTTTTAAATTGCTTCTTTTTAAATTGTCTCTTTATTTTAATTCCTTATATTAACTTTTTCTGTAAGCCGCCCGGAGTCCTACGGGATCAGGCGGCATATAAATCTATTAAAAGTTAAAGTTAAAGTCTGTAGAGATTCTCCATCATCCAGGTCCTCCCAAAGGTGCTTTTTTCAAGAAGCAACTGGACTTTCTTGGTTTTTCTTTGAAGGCGTTTCTCATCCCAGAAGCTTCTTCAGCTCTGACTGGATGGAGGGGAAGGGAAGGATTGATACTCCTTGCAGACAGCTGGTCATTTGCATCCTTTCAGAGGGTCCTTGAGGCCACCTGGAGGATTATCTGTGTCCTCAAGGTCACCTGAGTGGTGCAAATGGGGGTGGAGTCTTCTTGGAACTGCTGAAAGGACTTTGTGTTGTAGACTGGAGATAGATGATGTCATATCCTTCCCCCTCTGTTCAATTTTGACGTAGGTGGCCTTCTTGACTCCTCCTTCAAACCAGGTGAGCCTCAGGACACAGATAAACCTCCAACTGGCCTCAAGGACCCTCTAAAAGGATGCAAATGACCAGCGTTGTCTGCAAGGAATATAAAATCCTTCCATTCCTCACCATCCAGTCAGAGCTGAAGAAGCTTCTTGGACGAGAAGCGAAACATCTTCCAAGAAAAACCAGAAAGTCCGGTTGCCTCCTGAAAAAATCACCTTTGGGACAATCACGATCTGGATGGCTGAGGATCTCTACAGACTTCTAGCTACACAATTTGGGATGAAGACCCTTCGAATGGTGTGGGAGGAGGAATGGATTTCCAGAGGAAAAAATTGCAGACTACAGGAACCATTTGCACCACTCAGGTGACCCTGAGGACACAGAGAAACCTCCAAGTGNTCAAATGTATACATTTACTACATAGACGCCTGGGGCACATTAATTTCAAGATGCTGCAACAAACTGTTAAGTTGGCAGAGGGAGAAAAAGTAAAACCATGTAGTAAATATTTAAACTGCAATCTTTGCAATCAGGAGAAGAGCAAAGTTACTCCTGCAAACAGACTGGATGGTTTTAAAACAAAGGAACCTCTGGAAGATGCTTTTGCTGATATAATAGGACCTAAGAAGCCCAGCTTGGGAGGCGCGTGTTATGTTTTTGAGTACCATGGATCATTATTCCCGATACGGTTTCTGTTACTTAATGAAAAACAAAACAGAAACAGAAATTTCTTTAATTGGCTGAGGTTTGTGGAGAGAAAGATGAAAGCCAAGGTTACGACTGTAGTTACTGATAATGGGACCGGAGTTTACCAACTATAAATTCCAAACGATGTTAAGATCAGCTGGAATCGAGCACAAACGTTCTGCTCCTTATAAGCCACAACGTAACTCGTTTGTAGAAAGAAGGGGGCAAACATTACAGGCCAGGGCTCGAACCTATGATAGCTGATTCAGGTTCGCCGGAAACACTGTGGGGTGAAGCTATGATGTGTAGTAACCATGTTTTAAATAACGCGGTGAATACAACAACTGGTGAATTGCCACTCACTAGGTGGCATGGCAGAAAACCAGATCTGAGTTACCTACATACATTGGGAGCCCCAGCATGGGTGCCTATACCATCACAAGTGAGACTGAAAGGGCAACATAGAACTCGACAGTTATTTTTCGTAGATTACGAGGCCAACCACAGATCGTTTAGATTTTGGGAGAAGGGCACGGCTAAGGTTCACTGTAGCGCTAGTGCCAAGTTTATAGAACACGTGGGGTGGAATAAATTAGAACCAACTGACGATGTAATTATCGGTAGTCCCTAGTGATGAAATAGTAAAACCAGCACTTAAAGAGGAAGTGCAGGTACAGGAGGAACTAGAACAACGGGAGCAGGTGAAACAGGAAAATCCACCGGTGAGCCCTGAGTTGCCTAGAGCAGTGTTTCTCAACCTTGGCAACTTGAAGATGTCCGGACTTCAACTCCCAGAATTCCCCAGCCAGCGAAT